CAAGCCGCGGTAAGAGATATGCATCTTTCTTCGTCACAGTGTTTAGACGCCTGTAATCTACGCTGAATCTCCAGGAACCATCCTTTTTCCTGTCAAGAATTACCGGGGCTGCCCACGGGCTGGACGACTCTTGGACGACACCTTTATTCAGCATTTCCTTTACTTGTTCGGCGATAACTTTGCGCTCAGAGGATGACACTCGGTAGGGATTTTGGCGAATGGGGTGTGCAGAGCCGGTGTCTATTCTGTGACGAGCGCGGGACGAGGGTAACTGAAGGGGTGCATCTTTATGTTTGGAGTCGAAAGCAGCAACATGCCGGGAAAGGACCTGCACCAGCGCTTGCCGTTCCGTCGTACTGAGAGTCTTGCTGATCATACCGAGCATTAAATCTTCATTATGGCGAATATCACAAGGATAGGAAGAGGTGGTGAGGTCCGTAGCTATTCCTGCTATCGAGCTGCATGAGGCTTCATCGAAGAGAGCTATCTTCATCCCGCGAGTAAGCACAACCGGCGTGGCAGAACAGTTCAGCACCCACAATGTTGCTTCTCTTTTCGTCATGCACACAACAGAACAGGGCACAAGTATGTCCTTCTTAGAATAGTTCTTGCTTAGAGGCCCCGCTACGAGATCAACACAATCATCATCAACTACTGTGGAAGAGACTCGAACGGGTGTCAGGCACCAAGATGGTGCTATCACTTCATCAATCACACTAAGTGTGTTTCTGTCTTCGCCACGGTATTCTTCTTCGGAAAGTGACGGTAGTAACAAATTTTTTAGTGACATTTCCCCACTACCACAGTCGACGAAAGCGCCGCATTGCTCCAGGAAATCGATACCAAGAATGACATGGTGCGAACAACGAGATAGAACCAGAAATTCCGATACAAATACTTTTCCAGCCAATGAAACACTGACAACACATACACCAAGAGGATTAAGCCACTAGCCGCCTACACCACGAAAGGTGATTGCATCGTCCCATGAAAGCATAACTTTGCGACCTAAGCGGTTTCTGAAGGCGAGGCCCATCATAGACACCGTCGCCCCATTGTCAACTAACGCCATCGTCGGTATTCCATCGATCAACACATTCACTTTGTTTTTGAGCATAACAATAGGCAGAGGTATATCTTGAAAAGACCGTCCGGCGACCTCACCTCCATTGGCCGCGGATGCTAGTTTCCCGGCGTCGGAGAAGAACGACGCAGAGGAGACGGCGAGCGACGAGAATGGTTGGATGGTGGTTTCAAACTCCACTCGGATGCTGGCGAATCACAGCATCTCGTCTCGCGCGAACAACGGTCTCTTGGAAACAAGTCGGTTGTCCGCATGTCATATGAAGCACCGGGTCTTGGTGGCGAAGACAAGGCTGGTGTGCTTCGTGAGTGGCGGCGTCGTTGGTGGCAATGCCGAGAGATATGCCCAGTGAAACTACAGTTGGGAGGGTCACGGTTTATAATATATTTATTGGAACAAATCTAGAGCCGCTGCTGTCGGCGAGGAAGTTCATCATCACGCGAAGAACGGGTTTCTGCCGCTCTCTGGAATCCATTGTATTCGTCGTAAGCTACATCTTGGTGGTAGAGTCGGTACTGTCCTTGCCGCAGCGGGACGTAGTCCGGCTGAGAGTCCTGAGTATAAGAACGCGGCTGTGCTCGTCGTGATCATGCGTCATAGGCAGGGCCGCTATCGTATAGACGTGGCTGATACTGAAGTGTGGCATCAGAATCCTCAAAGCCCTCCTCGACTCGGTGCGAGGAGAATGAAGCAACGTTTCGCTCGAACTCTGGTGTCTGGTAGGGGGGATGACTGCTTGGGCGGTGTGCCACTTGCGCTTACAGGCCGAGTTCTTCACGTACTATTTGCCGGATTGTTGATGCAAGATCAAGCGCCTAGTTGCTGTCTATACTCGCGATGGTCGTCACATTGGCTAGCCTGCCGAACTTCGGCGTGATGCGCCTCGTCTTTAGTTGCTCAAAAGTGCGGCAATGGCGAATGACATCGGTGACAGATGTCAAGGTGTCTTTCGCGATGAGGAAACTGTAAACGTCCTCGGCGATTCCTTTTAGAATGTGCCCGACGATGTCTTCCTCCTACATTCCGGAGTCAATAATCCTATATAGCTTTATGACTTCCTCAATGTAGGTCGTGCAAGTTTCACCTGGCACTTGAGCGCGTTGCATTAGTGTCTGTTCTGCTCTTTTCTTTTTTGTTGTTGGGTCGCCGAAACGCTCTTGGATTTCAGAAACAAATCTGTCCCACGTCGTTAGCGTTTCCTCCCGATTCTCGTACCACATTAATGCCGTATCCTTCAGAAAGAACGCGAGGTACAAAAGCTGAGAAGCGGCATCCCATTTGTTAGTGGTGCTCATCCGTTTGTAATGGATGAGCCAAGCCTCGACGTCTTCATCTGGTCTGCCGGCGGAGGGACGAGCACCTCTCAGTTGTGGAGCCGAACTGGTCGGCGCAGAAGTCGAGAGGGGTCGGTGTTCATCTGCGTTGTGGGACATGTCCAGCCCAGATGGATTCGGTGGAAGTCCAGCAATGCGACGGCTCCGTCAAAGAACTCGCGGTTCACCCTCCACATTCGGGTGTCGATTACCCAGCACGTCCACCCCAACTGTAACAGCGAGCTGTAATAAAATGGTTTTATTTACAGGAGGTGAACGATGGTAGTTTTTGGCAGCATACTGCAATCGTGCAAAGACTATTCGTCTTCCTCTCCTTCTCTTCTCTACATTTTACGAATCCGTTACAATACATATAATTTAAATGCTTACCTGATTACCTGATTATCCCACTTTTAAAAGGAAGTAATTCACCAATTAGAGCTAGCAACTTGAGTCTCATTGTGAAGTTCAATAAGAGATAACTATTTACACAAACAGCCCTGCAGTATCACGCAATATTTTGTTACCTTAAATTACTTCTGCTGCAAAACAGTAGCCGAAAGAAAATTCTGGGAAAGTGGAATGTCTTACTGCCTGTTTCTGATCCCGTTCCTTCTGCGTCCGTCGCAACAGGCCTTTTTGACTGCATCTTCATCTAGCTTTTTTTTTAGTTTCCTTGTGTATAATGTTTTATGACATGACCAGGAGACATTTTTCAGCCATTATAGAAATTACCCATGGCATTTATGCTAGAGTAATGTTCACAGTCTTCCGCAGATGACCAGTAACTGCCAAAATAATTGGATGGTCACCTGTACCAGCATAAATATTTACATCTGTGCTAGCCACAATGATAACAAATTTAGTCTTTTGCGGAAACACTTTGAGTGGAAACACTAGCTCCTCCAATATGAGATTGGCTTCATAGAGTTTCCTAATATACACTAAAGAGAACTCTGGCGGTAGTGTCTATGGGAGCTGCAACGCACGGTGCTTCAGCGAGCATTGGAATGGTGGGTAGTACACACATTTGTCCAATAATCGTACTTCTGGCCTGCTTTTGGCTCCGTGCATGTTCATGTGGCTTGGAGCTGCTTTCTTACGAAACAAATATTAGCAAATGTTCAGCGGTTGCGCTTCAACATCCTATTCTTTTAGTCTTACCTTTCCAAGTCGCGTGACGAAGTTCAAAAATGTTGAATCTTTCTTTCAAATCAAAACCGAAACGCAGCAATAAACGAAGCCGCAAGTACGATTCGCCGCCCGCAAGTATGAAGACTAGGCAAATGTGTGTACTACCCATCATTTTCATGGCCGCGGAACGATCGCAGCACCACAGTCCCCTCTAGTTATTTTAGGAAACTCTATGATTGGCTTGATTTCGTTTTTGCAACTGTTACAACTAGTGAAATATACCCTCAGCGTCAAACTGACTGCCTGCACGTGCGCTGCTCAGAAAATTAAAGCTGTGGAGTTCAAATCGAACACGTTTTTTAGACACAGCATGCCTATATATATATAGAAAGGCTGTCTCTAATGTACACTATATAAATTATAATGTACATTTAGAGTTCTTCTCATACTCCAAGACACTCGTGAAATTAAGAACCATACTACTCTAAATTAGGCTAATAGTTCTTCAGTTGTATCACTATGAGTGAAGCATCACTGCCATTTAGTCTGCAAAGAAGCATCCGTGGTACGTCAAACTTGTGTCGTAGGTACATTTAAAGTAGCAATAGCTCACAACTACGCACAACCTAAAACAGCATGCAGTATTAATACACGCATGAAGCATTGTATGACATGCAGACTGAAGACAATTGCAACTTAGTACTTGTGATATATTGAATATGAATTCATCACAACACAGGGATACATGAAAACAGGGACAAATATCATTAATCAACAACTCTCCCACTCAGCGATTTTAACAAGTTATCTATTCCTATGTTCTTTTTGTTTGTCTTTTCTCGTGTGTCATCCACGTGGTCATTTGTATCCATCTTGACGCTCATCATGACACACTTTCATGCTTGTTTTACAGACAGGACAAACTTTTTTTAAACGTTCTAGGAAGTAATAGTTTAGGACCATAATTCCAGCTCAATGTACTGTAAGTTTAAGTATTGTTGACAGTAAAATTGAAATTACTACAAAAAAAGAGCCAAAAACCGTCTGTTTACTTCTTGGCTATGCTTAACCCTGTATTTAAGTAGTCTATCTACTGAACGTACCATGTCTTCAATAATTGGGCTGCAGTAGGCATCAAATACTTTGGCTTAGTACTACATTTTATTACAAGAGAGATAAAAGTACATATGGTAATAGTCTGGAAAGGTGCATACTTGGCGCTGTTATTCACAATGCTTATGCTCTAGTGCAAGAAGAAAATGAAGCAAAGTGACAGTGGCTGCCTATATTATTTCAAGTCTGCAGTGCAACTGGAACATTACTTTTTTTACGTCAAGTTTATATTAAACCCTAATGCATAGTGTTTTTACAAGGAAAGGCTATTTAGAAGCATGAATAATTGAATATAATTAAGTAAAGCAGTTCTCAAAGGCATTCATTGCAAAAGCGTCGAACGTTCTATTTTTCAGATAATCGAGACCGTATATTGACCGTACTCTACACAGACTACAAGGATTGTGTAGTCCTAGAAATGCCTTTGCTTGGAAAAGAGGGTAAGGACACTGTCACGAAATCTCATTCAATACGCTTGCCGCATTCAACCTCGGTGCTAGGTGTGATATTTCTACATGCATGCAAATTGAGATTCTAGGGGGCGACGTGCGTGTGTGCCTGACGAGGAAGACGAAGTGTGGTCTCCGCTCGGTGTCTGGTCTACCGGTCACGCCGCTGCTGCTGCTGCTGGTTTGAAATATATTTCATCCACAGCCTCGTCGATACGGCGTCTCTCTTCCGTAACATATTTGGTGGAGGTGGAACGTTCCCCGTCCTCACCACGAAGCTTCGCAGTGGCCACATCGTCCAGCCTCCGGCCATGGCTTCTAAAGATAACCCCCCCTCACCGCCATCACCTGGAGCGCCAGCTACTACGCACCTTGCGATGTCCCACTTCTGTGATCCCGGTACGTTCTCCGCCCAGCCTGGCCATGACGTCGACTACTGGCTGCGCATGTACGAGCGCGTTATCCTGTCTCACTGAAGGGACCCTATCATGATGCTCGCCAACGTAATCTTTTACTTGGATGGCACCCTGCGTATATGGTTCGACGCTCATGAGGCCGAGCTCACCAGCTGGGACATCTTCAAGGACCGACTGCGCGACACCTTTGGGGACCCGTCCGGTCGACAAACGGGCACACGACAACAACTCGCCAACCGAGTACAGTCATCAATCGAGTCGTATGTCTCGTACATACAGGACGTCCTCGCGTTGTGCCGCAAAGTGGACGAGCAAATGACCGAGAGTGACAAGGTGGGCCACATACTCAAGGGCATCGCGGACGACGCTTTCATCTTGATCGTGTACAACACCGTCACGACCGTCGATATCATAATTAAGGAATGCCGCCACTTCGAAATGGCAAAAAAACCGCCGAGTTTGGCCTCAATTTTCACGGCTCCTTAACATGGCTATCACGTCAACCTGTACCGATGTCGGTGCCGCACCACCATTGCACGAGAATGGCCCATGCATACTTCGGCGCGAGCATGAGGCGGCCCGTCCGGCGCCGTTTCATGCACTTCCACTCGACCAGGGCACCGTGCAAACACCTCCGGTGGTGTCAGTTATTCAGGCAGTCGTGCGGCAAGAAATTGCTAACCTGGCTTTCGTGTCACCTGCTCTGTCTCCCGACTGTGCTACATACCGATGCCAATAAATATAACACACCACGACCCATACACTCTGCCCAGATCCCGCAATCCGACGTAATGGAGAACAGCCAATCTGCTTCCGCTGTCACCGAGTTGGCCATGTCTCGCGCTACTGCCGCAGCACATGGACGCCCCCCCCCCCCCCCGTTGGCGCCAATTTTCTTCTCCTCGGCCTTACGCGGACCCCCGTTGGTATTCGCCCAGCCGTGAGTATCCTGCTTCCAACGCACCTAACAGCCGCTCTACCACGCGTTCTCCGTCGCCCCTACCCCACCGCTATCCATCGTCGACTGACTATCGATCCTCCCGGATGAAAAACTAGATTATGCAGCTCCTGGAGGTAGTGCTGCATCAAGTGCGACTGACCCAAATCCTCTGTTGACGCTACATACTAAAAAGAACTTGCTGGAAGTGCATGTGGACGGTCTTTCTTTGACGGCTTTAGTTGACACTGAAGCTCAAGTGTCTATAATGAGTGCTCATCTGTATCGGCGCCTCAAAAACGTACTCACGCCTGCCACAACACAAGCCGTCCGTGTCGCCGATGGTGGAACTGTAGCCGTCATTGGAATGTGTACTTGTCATATTAGCCTTGCCAGGCGCCATGTCCCTGTTTTATTTACCTTGCTCGACAATTGCCCTCATGACGTCATCTTCGGGATGGACTTCTTATCGACGCATTCTTTCTGATTGACTGTCCCGCTGGCACTCTTTGTTTAGAACTTCCTCTTCTCCTGAATTCTCACCCTGAACTCCCGTACAACCTGTGCACCACTGACTTCTTCCGGATACCACCTAAAGTTCTCACATTCATTGAATAGGCAACACCCTCTCCCGTGCTCGATGGTGATTATATCGTGACGCCTATTCCTGATGTTCTCCTGGCGCGTGACATTACTGCCCCACACTCCATCGTAACCATGGCCTCTAACCGAACATATTTACCTGTTATCAATTTTGGTTTCATAAAACAAATGCTACCTCATGAAATATCCGTCGCCACGCTAAGAACCTTAATTGACGACCACGTCACCTGCTTTGCGGCAGACGTATGTCCCGATCACCCACGTCACTCGCAGGATGCCACGTGCTTGGATGCAACCTTACACTCCATGATCGCCCCGAACCTCGAACCTGAGAAGTCAGCCTCACTCTGCCGCCTTCTGGCTTCATACCACGACATATTCGACATAGACAGCCGTCCACTCGGCCAGACTTCACGCGTCAAACGCCGCATTAACACAGATGGTTATCAACCCATTCATTGGCGACCATACCTATGGGTGTCTGCCACCGAGCATAGAGTAATTCAACAAGAAGTCACCAAGATGTTAGCCAAGGGAATTATTGAACCCTCTTCGAGACCTTAGGCGTCCCCCGTTGTGCTCGTTAAAAAGAAAGATGTCACGTGGCGCTTCTGCGCGGATCTGAAAATAGAATCACGAAAAAGGAGGTTTACCCTTTACCCCGCATCGCTGATGCTTTCGATTGTCTCCACGGCACCCGATACGTTTCTACAATAGACCTACGTTCCGGGTACTGGCAGATTTCTGTCGACAAAAAAGACCAAGAGAAGACAGCGTTTCTAACTCCAAACGGCCTATATCAGTTCAAAGTTATGCCTTTTGGGCTGTGCAACGCCCCAGCCACGTTCGAGTGAATGATGGACTCTCTGCTACAAGGGTTCAAATGGTCAACATGTCTCTGTTACCTTGAGGACGTTGCTGTATATTCCCAAACATTTGAGACCCACCTTCAGCGTTTGTCAGCTGTTCTGGACGTATTCCGCACGGCAGGCTTTCAATTAAACTCGTCGAAGTGTCACTTCGGACGCCAGCAAATTACAGTGTTGGGTCACATTGTCGATGCATCTGGTGGGCAGCCGGACCCGGAGAAAATTCATGCAGTCACCAGTTTTCCTGCGCACCGGTCAGTTAAGGACGTCCGGAGTTTTGTAGGATTTCGTTCCTACTTTAGAAGGTTTGTGAAAAATTTCGCAACCATCGCTCGACCTCTCACTGAGCTTCTGAAGAAAGACGTCACGTTGACGTGGGGTACCGACCAAGCTGCTGCTTTTCCTCATCTAATCACGCTTCTGCCGAATCCACTATACTGGCTCACTTTGACCCATCCGCTGTGACAGAAGTCCGAACCGATGCTAGTGGTCACGGGATTGGAGCCTTCCTAGCCCAACGCCAACGGGGACACGACCATGTTGCCACGTACGCCAGCCGCCTCCTCACAGCTGCTGAGCGCCACTATTTCATTACAGGGTGTGAGTGTCTCGCTCTTGTTTGGGCAGTCTCAAAGTTCCGCCCATATTTATATGGCACAAATTTCTCTGTAATAACTGACCATCATGCGCAATGATGGCTTACGTCACTGAAGGATCCTACTGGCCGGCTCGGGCGCTGGGCTCTGTGACTGCAAGAATATACCTAAACGGTGACGTACAAGTGCGGACGCCTACATCAAGATATAGACTGTCTGCCCCGCTACCCGGTTGCTGAGTCGAGCACTATACTTGACACCGACACCGGCCATTGCGTCTTTTTCCTTTCGCAAATGACATGCATCGGTGACGAGCAGCGCCGTGATGCTTCCTTGCGTGTTATCATTGAGCGCCTCGAATCACCATCTTCCAATCAGTCCCATCCCTCATTTGTGCTCCACGATGGTGTATTATACCACCAAAATTTCGAGCCGGATGAACCGGCCCTGCTGCTTGTCATTCCAAGACACCTTCGCTCGGAAGTTCTAAATGAACTTCATGACCATCCAACTGCCGGTCACCTTGGTGTCTCGCGCACTTACGACCGAATACGCCGACGCTTCTTCTGGCCAGGGCTTGCATGCTCAGTCAGAAGATACGTTGCGGCTTGTGAGAAATGTCAGCAATGCAAAACGCCATCGGCACTTCCCGCCGGACTCCTTCAACCACTTGACATTCCGTCAGAACCATTCTTCCGCGTTGGCTTGGACCTACTTGGCCCTTTCCCCTTGTCTTCCTCGGGTAACAAATGGATAGCTGTGGCCACCAACTACGCCACGCGTTATGCCATCACACGAGCTCTTCCAACAAGGTGCGCCACAGACGTCACTGACTTCCTCCTCAAGGACGTGATTTTGCAACACGGAGCCCCACGGCACCTGCTTAGAAACCATAGCCGCACCTTTTTGTCGAAGGTGATAGCCGACATCTTGCAGTCCTGTCAAACGAGACACAAGCTGACTACGTCATACCATCCGCAAACCAATAGACTCAGGGAGCGTCTAAATTAAAATCTTACAGACATGCTCGCTAAGTATGTTTCTACCAACCACACCAACTGGGATCTTGCGTTGCCGTACGTCACATTTGCCTATAATTCTTCGCGCCATGACACTGCGGGTTACTCTCCATTTTTTCTGCTGTTTGGCCGAGAACCAACAATGCCTATAGACACCGTCACACCGTCCCGTGCGGGACCGACCAGTGAATATGCCATAGACGCTATCACTCGGGCCGCTGACGCACGCGAAATCACGCGTACTCGCCTTCCGACCTCTCAAGAGAAGCAACGGCGTTTGTATGACCAACGACACCGCGACGTACACTTTCCGTCCGGTTCTTTGGCCCTGCTCTTGTCTACCACCCGTCAATTTGGCTTGTGAGAAAAACTGCTTACTCGCTACACAGGTCCATACCGAGTCCTTCGTGTGGTTACTCTAGCGACATATGAAATTGGTCCTGTCACCCCATCGCCTTCATGTGCCCAACAGGCTACCAATATTGTACATGTTGCGCGCTTGAAGACCTACCACTCTCCTAGTGACGTTGACATTCAGATGCGCCGAGCCGGCGCTTCTGCCGCCGGAGAGTATGCTACATGCATGCAAATTGAGATTCTAGACGCCATATTGACAGCCTCGTCGATGCGGCGTCTCTCTTTCGTAACAATATATTTTTCTCTTATACATGGGATACTAGAATACCTGTAATTGTCATGATTACTTTTCAGGTGCCTTAACTAAGAAAGTTGAATGCTGTTAAGCATACCTACACAAGTCCTTAGGCAAAAAAAACTGAAGTTTAAATTCAGGTCCTTGAGGGCATATCAGCGGCTATAGTTGCCCTATTTAGACGTTTTCAAACAATATCATCCTCTTCAACAGCAATACTCAAGACTACACTAAATGGATTATTCCTAGCCTCATGTAATAACAAAAACGATTTTCAGCTTCCTGTGCTAGTATAGGGGCGCCAACGCTAAACTCTTCTGGGGGCAGGTGAAAAAAAGTGAATGTCTCTCTCCCTCAGGTTTTTCAAGAGCTTGATTTGAGCGAAGAATTTTCCCACATAAACGGAAATGCTGCAACAGCGCGTTTTTCCGTGGGTCGCGATGTGTGAAACCAAATGACCTGTGAACATATGGAGTGGTCCTGCGAAAAAAGTCGGTGGTTTTCGGTGTAGCTGTGGTCAGACTACATGAGTGGAGGAGCGTTCGCTACATCGTAGGAACCATTGAGATTACCAAAACCTGTAGTACGGAATAATATATTATTCTAACACGGTGTGCTCACACGCATCTGCAACATTAGCATAGTGTTACATGGTATTGGGCGTGTGCGTGGTCTTATGGTAACACCTTGCAATGAGGCGAGAAATATGTCAACATCTCGAGCGTCAACTTGTGACTAGTCCGTGGTTGCAAGGGTGTTGTTTCATCATTGTATTGCATTTGAGGTACATTTTAGAAAACGGTACTTCGTGGTGTAGATATTACCATTTGTTTTGATGTGGCACGTCTATTGCTCCAAGCAGCCGATGTTTGTGATGTATCTGATGTTTGTGATGTATCCAGAACCAAAAGTTTTGAAGAGACCCGACGTTTCGGAACCGACTTGGTTCCTTCTTCAGCGGTGACTGCGTAGGCTACGTAGCAGCAGCGTCTTCAAAGCACTCGAGGGGTGGCTAATGACCCCTCTCTCTGTCTCTCCCTCTCTCTAGCCACCCCTCGAGTGCTTTGAAGCAACGCCGACTAAATTTAGTCGACGTTGCTTCAAAGCACTCGAGGGGTGGCTAGAGAGAGAGACAGACAGAGGGGTCATTAGCCACCCCTCGAGTGCTTTGAAGACGCTGCTGCTACGTAGCCTACGCAGTCAACGCTGAAGAAGGAACCAAGTCGGTTCCGAAACGTCGGGTCTCTTCAAAACTTTTGTTTGGAGCCTATATCGTCTCGCAGTTTCATACCCAACCGGACAGACTTCTGTCAAATGTTTACATTCATTTCAAAGTTTCTTGTGAAATCTCGTGAAACTAACTTTAGATTGATCGCTTGATTGCCTGAGTAACACTTTTTTATTTTTCGATTGACTGCTTGACACCTTGAATATTATTAAGTTATTGAATAATCAAGCGGAATTGTAGAGTGGTTACAAAAGTAATAAAAGCGCTTGGTAATCGCACTGCCATGTAAAGGCGAATAACAGCAGGAAGCGTAGAGTAAAAAAAAAATCAGTCAGCTATTTGGCTGTCACTACAGCATTCTGTCTTCGGTGGTAGAATACACACAAATGGTTGTATAATGGTGATTGTGACAATAACGACTGAGAATGTTCGAGAACTGGTCTTCTCATTCCTCATATGATCTCCACTTTTGCAGAATGTATGCTGGTGGTCACCCGAGAAGTCAAGGATGCCGTTCCGCAGCATTGCTTCGAGCATTACGACAGCAATTGCTACAATAAAGTTACCACATACGACCCTGATGTATGCAGCCAGGTAGAAGATGATTTTTGAAAGCAAGATGACACGTTCAGTCTTGCGTAATAAAATAAAGCGTTTATAAAAAGCAGGAGCTCTTGTTCTATCACCTCCTGTGCATATGAAGGTCTTTCCATATCATGTGTATCCGGCAAATAAATCACTAAGGATAGGAGGCTTGATCGGGTCTACGCGAATTCTATCCTTTTTCCGGAAAGCGTCTGTCATTCAATTTCAAAGCGGTGGATTTCAAATATAATTAGAGTGATCACAAAAAAGGCCATTAGAGGTGCCCGATTCAACTGGAAAGCCATTTCACCGAACTCTTTGACAACTCTATGATATCTGTAGGCACAACTAGTGTATACTATAGCCGACCGCACAGTAGTTGATTAAGCTGGGTTCAACGGGCTGTCAAAGAGTTCAGTTACATATATAGCTTTACTGAACCATACGCCATCTCAATCATTGCGCCACCTTGTGAAATTCCGCAGATCTCATTTGCTTTTAATTTAGAAGAACATTAGGCGACGCTATCCACCGCGGAGGAATAGGCGAAAAAGAATAGCTTATGGTTGGTTCCCCGGTCGTTCGCGTCGTCTAATTGTCTCGTAAAACGCACCCATACTAGCCTACCAACAACTTTTGCTAAAGCTTCGTTCTCCCCATATGTGAAATTCTGCCGCGACGCGTGAGGTTGTGCATCCGCCAAATTATAGTTGCGACTGAGGTGTAAGAATGACAGATATTAAAAAAGACTTGCCTTATAGTAATAAATGTAATCTAGCAGCCCCAATCAGCAGCATTTCGTCAAATACTGCGCACGAAACACAGCAAGCTCATTCCTGAGGTTTTCCCAATAACTAGTTAAATGCCATAATCTTTATTTTTCTCACATGGCTGTCATTACCTGCCTGGTGGTCATAATTTAGATCACCTGCTACGTGGACGAAAATGAAGTGTGAGTTCAAAACAAAGTACAGAGCGCCTTGATAGAGAAGATTCCTCATACAACTTGCGTCACGTCACCTATGCACCAAGCTATTGTCATTATTACATGACCGACATGATCAGGCTGGTTCTTATTGCTGTGGAATTGCATGTCGCACCCCTGGCGTGAAGTACATAGCACGCGATTGCAGAATATCCGGCCAAAAAAGACCCGTTCGAAATATTGCAAGTTCATTCCTACAATTATCCGGACAAGTCATTAAATGTCATACTGTTTTTTGTTCGCACGGCTATCATTACCTGCCTACCGGTTAAGTTTAGATTGCCTGGTACATTGCCGGAAATAGAGCCTTAGTTAAAAACAAAGTATAACCGTGCTTTCACAGAGTAAAGGAGATTGCTTATACATCCTATGTAGCCTATGCACCAAGCCATTTTCTTTATAACACGATTGACATGATCAGAATGGTCCTCATTGCTGTGGAATTGCATGTCGGACCCCTGGCGTGAGGTACATAGCACGCGATTGCAGTATATCCGGCCGAAACTCAATTGTGCCTTGTCACGCCGTGAAAAGTTCGAAATGAGGTTTTTTTTATAATTATCTCTGTTCATTGAACGCCCAAAACGCCTTCAGCTCATCAAATGAAGAATTCACTCGCAGATTTCTCTTTTTTTTAAATTTCGAGCCAGATATAAATGAAATTTTTATGTTTAGAGTATGACATGTGAGTCGAGGAGTAATTATTATTATTGAGGCTTAGTGTCCATAAAGTACCATATAATCATTAGAGTCAGCATAATGGAGTGCTCCGGAAATTTCAACCTCCTGGGGTTCATTAACTTGCCCTCAATCTAAGCACACGGGCCTTAAACATTTTTGCCTTCATAGAAAATGTGGCCGCCATAGTCGAAGTGGAAATAACGTATGCTATGTCATATATACGTAGAAAAAAAAGCAGTTCATAGTAGGAATATTTGAAGGATACCTTATTTTACTGGCGTCAGAGTAGCATTACCTATCGCAATCATTGCTTCGCCATTTGGCAAAACAGCGGCTTTTTTTAGGGGCGAAGCTCCTTGGATGTTGGTCTGTCCTTCCTCCGACGTTGTGTGTAGCCACCGGTGGCACATACCCGAAAGAGCGTTCCTTAGAATGTCTGCTGGATGGCGGCACTTGTATATGATGAATACATGATGAAAAGATGTTAAATGACTGACGAACGCACAGACAGGCGGAGAGGTGGACGCACGACGGACAGATGAACGGGTGGATGGACAGACAGAGAGACGGCCGCATGAACAGACGCGCGGACGGACGGATGGACAGACGGAAGAACGGACCTACGGATGGACATACGGACAGACGCATATACTGACGAAAGCAAGAACGAATGGGTGGACGAAAGCACGGACGGACTGATGAACGCTTCGCCACACCAATCATCATTCACTCCGTGGATATGCTGTGGTTTTTTTTTTTTTGTACCTTCAACACACTTTGCTTTCCGTTTAGAGAGTAATTTAGGAGATGCAGTCAAAGCTTTACACTATCATTGATTTCGCAAAAACACTAATTGAACTCCTTAGTAAAGCTTGTTGTTGGACCCGTTCGTGAATGCTAAAATAAAATTAGATGACAAAAACCCCAGGCAAAAAATAGGCGAACACAAGAGCGTGAAACGCTCCTTCCTTTCCCCTATTTTTCCCCGCTCTTTTGCGCCATCTAATTTAATTGTAACTGGAGCACCGCTTATAGCGTCTTATACTGCGTAATACTTCTCTGACGCCTGTAAAGTAAGGTGTCCTTCAAAAAATTTTACTATTGATTGCTTATTTTATTGTACATATAATGACATAGCCATACATTATTTTCAATTCGGCTGCGGCGGCCACATTTTCAATGAAGGCCAAAATGCTTGAGAACCGCGTGCTTAGATTTAGGCGGCAGAAATTTCCGGAGCCCTCCACTGCGGCGTCTCTTGAGCTCATATGGTGATTTTGGGACGCTAAACCCCAATAATAATATTTACACGTAGTAATAATTACACGTAATAATAATAATTACAATAACACGCCATACTGTTCAAAGACAAATTTAAGTCATGTCTGGTTTGAAACTAAAAAAAGAAAGAAAAACTTCGAGCGGATTGGTCTTATGAAAAAGCGGAGGCCTTTTGAGCGTCCAGTCAATGTATATAATCAGTAAACAATCCCATTTCAAACCTTTTATGGCTTTACATGGCTCAATTGACTTTCGGTCAGATATTCTGTAATCATGCGCTATGTACTTCACACAAGTGGTCGGACATGCACATCCACAGCGATGAGGACCATCCTGATCACGTCAATCGTGTTATAAAGAAAATGGCTTGGTGCATAGGCTACATAGGATGTATAAGCAATCTTCTTTACTCCGTGAAAGCACGGTTGTACTTTGTTTTTAACTAAGGCTTTATTTCCGGCAATGTAGCAGGCAATCTAAATTATGACTGGCAGGCAGTTAATGATAGCCGTGCGAACAAAAAACAGTATGACATTTAATGACTTGTTCGGATAATTGTAGGAATGAACTTGCAATATTTCGAACGGGTCTTTGCCGGAATGCTGCAGATCGCAGCTGGTAGATTACATTTACTACCGTGAGGCGAGCTTTCTTTTAATATTTGGCATTCTGTACACCTCTCCACCAAAGTAGAAATGTCCATTAGATCGACACTGCGAGAATAGCTCTGATGGGTTATACTCAGTTTTATTTTATATGGAAGTACCAAATGACCGATTGAAACTTGTAGTATGTACCAGGCTTCCACTTGATTGCAGAAACGATGTAGGATCAATTGTAGAAACTCTTCAAGCATCACGAAATATTTACAAGTGCACTGAAACGTAAGCACTACTTGTCATCTTATCATGAAAGTTTATCTATGCTGTGAAGTGAAACTTTATTTTTAGAAACAAACTATGATTCCGGGCATATACATACGTGAACATTGCAACGAGAAGTGAAGTTACTCTAGATGAATCGTGAAGGATTTGGCACCCATCTACATGCTGCCGCCGTGGGTCGCCGCCGAGTCTAGGACCTCGTGTTCAACAGCGGGATGCAGCAAGGCAGATAAATAGTTGATAGTTATGGTATAAAACGATTGCAAAGAATTGCAGATGCATTCTCTGTCTATTTTTTGCTTCTACTTTTCCCCTTCACGGTCATTCGGATGAGCCATTGCCACTTGCTTACGGCTTATGCAGAAAACACTGTTGAAGGGCACGACATCCTACTGGCTTTTAGGCTTCATTTCGAACGTCTGGTCCTTACTAATATTACTACAGAAACGATTCCCGAACACTGCCATTTCGTGATAAAAGGGAATGAGTTCGAAGAAATACTAGTCCGTAAACTTGTGCATTTCACCCTACATGAATGGCAGGACTCAGGTACTATACGCTCACGTTGTTCAAATATTAGAAACAATCAAAAAGTAAAAAGAAGGTTCAGAAAAAAAAGTCATATCCCTTAGCGTCTGTGACGCAGCAGCGGTCTATTTTGCCGACCCATTCGGCCAGTACGCTGTGACCTTTGAATAATTCAGAATGCTGACTGCTGCCCACATGGAATCATTAGGCTTCTTACTTATTTAAGTGGTCGTACTAGGGCGTACTCATTATTGATAGTCTGGAACTGGCAAAGTCATTCTAAAACAGAAATGTGCATATCCACCTCCTTTAACGCAACCCTGTTCGCTAGGTCAACTGAAATGTGCAATCATTAAGCTATTACTCGATGAGAAGTTTAGACAAACGTGTAGGTTACTCATCATCGTCATAATACTAACTACACCCACTGCAGGGCAAAGGCCTCTCGCATGATCCACCAATCAACCCGGTCTTGTGCTTTCCGCTGCCGCGTTATACCTGCGAACTTGGTTATCTCATCCGCCCACCTAACTTTCTGTATCCCCCTCACGCGTTTCTATTTCTCTCGCCGCGGTGGTCTATGGCACAAGTTCTCGGCTGCAGACCCGCAGGTTGCAGGATCGAATCCCGGTTGCAGGAGCGAAGATGGTGTAGGCCCGTAAGCTCAGGTTTCGGTGCACGTTAAAGAACCCCAGGTGGTCGAAATTTCCTGGAGCCTTCCGCTAC